CGCGAGCGCGGGGACCCGTCCACGCCGCCGTCTCCGGGAGCCGCGACACGGTGTGTATATGAAACAAAAGTTTGCGAGCCGTAAATTGCTACTGTGTGATTAGGAGCCGCTTTCAAGTTTCCAGCGCCAAATGTAGCTTAGCTTTAAGTTGCCAAAGCAAGTTGGGGGAATGGCGTGGCGGGCGTGACCGGCTTTGTGCGCGGACCCGCGGGGAGCGACCTGTGCGCCAGATGAAGGCTAAGATGCACTTTAGACTTGTCTTTGCACTCCTGCTGCCGTCTCTCATCCCCGCGGCACTGGGCAAGAACTTGAGGTACAGGATCTATGAGGAGCAGAGGGTCGGATCGGTGATTACAAACCTCTCGGAGGATGTGGCTGATGTCTTAGCGATGCTGCCCAACCCTCGCGTGCGTTTTCGAGCCATGCAGAGGGGCAATTCTCCTCTGCTCGTGGTCAATGAGGACACCGGGGAGATCAGCATAGGGGCGAAAATTGACCGGGAGCAACTGTGCCAGAAAAACTTGAACTGTACCATAGAATTTGATGTGATCACTCTCCCCACTGAGCATCTGCAGCTTTTCCATATTGAAGTCGAAGTGCTGGATATTAATGACAATGCTCCCCAGTTTTCCAGATCTCTCATTCCTATCGAGATTTCAGAGAGCGCGGCGGTTGGGACTCGCATCCCTCTGGACAGTGCCTTTGATCCAGATGTGGGGGAAAATTCCCTCCACACGTACTCTCTCTCCGCCAATGATTTTTTCAGTATTGAGGTCCGGACCAGGACGGATGGAGCCAAGTATGCAGAACTCATAGTGGTCAGAGAGCTGGATCGGGAGCTGAAGTCGGGCTATGAGCTTCAGCTCACTGCCTCAGACATGGGGGTGCCTCAGAGGTCGGGCTCGTCCATCCTAAAAATCAGCATTTCGGACTCTAACGACAACAGCCCTGCTTTTGAGCAGCAGTCTTACATAATACAACTATTAGAAAACTCCCCCGTTGGCACTCTGCTCCTGGATCTGAATGCAACTGATCCAGATGAGGGCGCCAATGGGAAAATTGTATATTCCTTCAGCAGTCATGTGTCTCCCAAAATTATAGAGACTTTTAAAATTGATTCCGAAAGAGGACATTTGACTCTTTTCAAGCAAGTGGATTATGAAATCACCAAATCCTATGAGATTGACGTTCAGGCTCAAGATTTGGGTCCGAATTCTATCCCAGCTCACTGCAAAATTATAATTAAGGTTGTGGATGTCAATGACAATAAACCTGAAATTAACATAAACCTCATGTCCCCTGGAAAAGAAGAAATCTCTTATATTTTCGAAGGGGATCCTGTTGAATCATTTGTTGCATTGGTCAGGGTTCAGGACAAGGACTCTGGGCTGAATGGAGAAGTAGTTTGCAAGCTTCACGGGCATGGTCACTTTAAACTTCAGCAGAGTTATGAAAACAACTATTTAATCTTGACGAACGCCACACTGGATAGAGAGAAGAGATCTGAATACAGTTTGACTGTAATTGCTGAGGACAAGGGGACACCCAGTCTCTCTACAGTAAAACATTTTACTGTTCAAATCGGTGATATAAATGACAATCCACCCCACTTCCAGAGAAGTCGATATGAATTAGCAATCTCAGAGAATAACTCGCCAGGGGCATTTATTACCACTGTTACAGCCACAGATCCTGATCTGGGAGAAAATGGGCAAGTTACATACACTATTTTGGAGAGTTTTATCCTGGGAAATTCCATAAATACATATGTTACCATTGACCCATCTAATGGAGGCATCTATGCCCTCAGAAACTTTGATCATGAAGAAGTGAGTCAGATAACTTTTGTGGTTGAAGCGAGAGATGGAGGAAGCCCGAAGCAACTTGTAAGCAATACTACAGTTGTGCTCACCATCATTGATGAAAATGACAATGTCCCTGTGGTCATAGGGCCTGCACTGCGCAATAATACTGCAGAAATCGCTATCCCCAAAGGGGCTGAGAGTGGCTTTCATGTCACAAGAATAAGGGCAATTGACAGAGACTCTGGTGTGAATGCTGAACTCAGCTGCTCCATAGTAGCAGGGAATGAGGAGAATATCTTTATAATTGATCCACGAACATGTGACATCCATACCAATGTGAGCATGGAATCTGTTCCCTACACAGAATGGGAGCTCTCTGTTATCATCCAGGACAAAGGCAATCCTCAGCTGCATACCAAAGTCCTTCTGAAGTGTATGATCTTTGAATACGCAGAGTCAGTGACAAGTACAACAAAGACCCCAGCAAGCCAGGAATCTTTGGATGTTTCCATGATTATAATTATTTCCTTGGGAGCAATTTGTGCAGTGTTGTTGGTTATTATGGTGCTGTTTGCAACTAGGTGTAACCGAGAAAAGAAAGACACAAGATCCTACAACTGCAGGGTAGCAGAATCAACTTACCAGCACCACCCAAAAAGACCTTCCAGGCAGATTCACAAAGGGGACATTACATTGGTGCCCACCATGAATGGCACTCTACCCATCAGATCTCATCACAGGTCATCTCCATCTTCATCTCCTACCTTAGAAAGAGGGCAAATGGGCAGCCGGCAGAGTCACAACAGTCACCAGTCCCTCAACAGTTTGGTGACAATCTCATCGAACCACGTGCCAGAGAATTTCTCATTAGAACTCACCCATGCCACTCCAGCTGTTGAGGTAAGATCATACCCTGCACCAATTCACTGACAAAGTAGCTGTTAGTATACAGAAGCTGTGTGTTAGTCCTGAAATGTTTCCATTAAGAAGTAACAATACTAACAATATGCAAATTAAGTAGGATACAAGTTACATTATGCATATAAGTATATACACCTGAGCATACTGTTTTAAGTTTTTCTTAAAGAATTTACTTGCATGTGCTATGTATAATATTGAAAAATAAATGTGCAGCTCACAAAGGACTATCTGATTAGAATTCCCATACTTCCAAGATTGAGATACTGGAAGCCAAAAATAAAGAGGCTTGCTTTATTGTCATAGGTGTGGTCTGTATTTAAAAAAAAAAAGAAAAGCCCAAACAAAAACCTGAAGCCTCCAGAATCCTATCTAAATGCATGATATATTTGTTCAGCTTTTGAAAAATTTCTGATGTTATTTTAACTACATGTGTTAGAATGTTATATTTTAGAGCATTTTCTATGCATTTTTATAACTGATCACTTTAAATTGGGACTATAAAATAAAGGAAATTGACCTGTTATTTACAAAAGTCCTCTTTCAAAAAGAAGAAAAAAATCAGTTGTATTAAGATCATTCAAATCTCTCTGGGATGCATTCATATTGGGTGGCTAGCTGTATAGTGTGCCACAGCTCAGCAGATGTAAATGTCTAAAAGAGAGAGAACATGTTCATTGTTTTTCCTTGCTGAAAGCTTGTGAGTATTTGGGGTTTGTTTCCAGGAATCAGTTCTGTCTGTTTGGTTTCCAGCAGGTCTCCCAGCTTCTTTCAATGCTTCACCAGGGGCAATATCAGCCAAGGCCAAGTTTCCGAGGAAACAAATATTCTAGGAGCTATAGGTATGAATACCCTTGTGTTGCCTATTAAGTGTCGAATAGCATGGATGCTAAACAATAAAAACTATACATTCCCTGATTTATCTTTCTAGATATGCCCTTCAAGACATGGACAAATTTAGCTTGAAAGACAGTGGCCGTGGTGACAGTGAAGCAGGAGACAGTGATTATGATTTAGGGCGAGATTCTCCAATAGATAGGCTGCTGGGCGAAGGATTCAGCGACCTGTTTCTTACAGACGGAAGAATCCCAGCAGGTAAGGGGGAGGTGGCAGATAAATCCTTATTTTCAGATCTATTGCACCGGTGAGCAATTTCTCCCACGCTTCTATTCTCCTTGCCCTTTGCACTGAGTGTCTGTAATCTGCACACCATTAGCAGTGAACATAGGCTGAAACACTGTAAAGTTATTTTCTTAAAACTCATATGGAGAGGGCTTACCGAGACAAGAAGGCAGGCAGAGGAAGATGGAAAACCACGGCAGTGGAAAACCACTGCTTTCCTCCCCCTCCTGCCCCATCCCGCACTGCCACAGGACACTCTTGAGCAACTCTTTATAAAATTGCCGGGTGGTTGTTTTCATTCACACAGCCTGTTTTGGTGCGCGGTGGTGCACTGGACTATAATTTGGAGGACACATTTCCTGTGATGGGAACCAACTCACAAAATCAGTGATTAAAATATACCAGGAAATGGTATGCTTTACTCACTAAAAATAGGAGAGAGGCTACATCTTCGCAGGTGGTATGCACAGTATACTTCTCACCAGCTTTCAGGTTACGCCTGCGGCAGGGTGGAAGAGAAACGGGTGTCCAAGAGGGGAATCTGTAAGTGTGTAGCTGGATGGAGGAGATCCGAGTAAGTCATGAGCCACTTCTTCCTTAGAGTCCCTGCTCTCTAATTGTGCAGCAGAAACTCTCTGAACCAACTGGGTAAATACTGACTGTGACTGAAGACTGTAATATTCAATCAACTCTTAGGAACACACAAATGTTCCTTTGGCTACTTATGTTTCTAAATTCTACTGAATGTTGATCTAGTGACTGCTCTTTGGTTAATGAAAGGCAAAAGAAAACTATATTACCCGTCTTGAGTCCCATCAAACAACTATTTTCTAAGTACAGATCAGTAAGAGAGTTTTGGAACTAGGCCTGAGGGAGCTTCAGAGAGGTGCAGAAATTCAGGCAAAATCAGTAAACAGAAACTCTAGCTCTCATGGTTACAGTAGCAGTGGTGGCAGTTGCTGCAGGAGTATTAGCACTAGTCACAGCCGTCGCAGCAGCAGTTGCCAGTGACGTCCCAATGCTTGCTCCAGACCCATGAGGTATTCTACACTTGCACTGCTTTTCCCAACACTTGGACAAAGGAATTAGTTATGGGTGGTAGTAACAGTATATATATGCTTATAAATGTTTAAAAATGTGTCCCAAATCAGGTAATTTGTACATGGTAGAGGTGAGTTTTGAGTCAATTCCCATACTCTTAAATACTAATCTATCAAGAGTAGTATGAAGGAACAAGATTTGCATTTTTTAAAAAATACATTGAAAAGTATATTTATTCTTATATTTTAAAGTCTTACTACCCTCCATGAAACTATTTGTTTTTTTAAAAATATATCTTTATTGATTTCAGAGAGAGGAAGGGAGAGGGAGAGGGAGAGATAGAAGCATTAATGATGAGAGAGTCATTGATTGGCTGCGTCCTGCAGGCCCCCCCTACTGGGGATGGAGCCCAAAAGCCAGGCATGTGCCCTGACCGGGAATTGAACCTTGATCTCCTGGATCATAGGTTGATGCTCAACCACTGAGCCATGCTGGCTGGGCTCCATTAAACTATTAAATGCTGCTTAATTGCTATTACATTAATAGATACTGCATTTCTGGCAGGATGAATGTGTGGAAAGGACTTGAAGTTACATTAAGGGCTACAGTGTACATGAGAGAGAGCCCATGTCTGCAGTCATGCATGGTGTCTTCGTGTATTTTCTTTAACTCATAGGTTTCCTTGACCAATTTTAAAAGAAAGCTCTGGAAATATAGTGGGATATATATGGCTTGAGACAACTTGCTGAAAGAGAATCAGTTTAATGGGAGTAATGTCAATATTTCATTGTGCTATTTTTTTAATTACATGAAGTCTATTCATTGAAATTTTAATTTAGCAGCATAGTTAAAAAGAGAATAACTACCCCTACATACATAACCTTGCCATTTGTGGGCCTAACTGCTGCCCAAAGTCCTTCTAAATTCTGAAATTATGTAATTCTAATAGTTAATCATGGTCTAACTTTTTAAAAAAGATCAAGAGTTTTCTTTCACTCTTTTCTGTATTTTCAAAGTTACTAACACCAGATATGTTCATGGTAGGAGAGTTATCTAGTGCTTGAGTTAAAAAAATGAAATTAAAGTAAATGTTAAAGAATAAAGTCACTGGGGAAACAATGGGTAGTTATAAAGCCTAGATATTAGTGAGTCTTCTTTAGTGAGTGACTTCAGACCTCCTTTAAGTTACACTTCTTTTCAAAGTTAGAGGCCCACTTTTATATTATCTTTAACAATACCACTTAATACATACACAACTTTTAAGGAACAATTCCATAGTTACACAGTCATACTAATCCAGGTGTGTAGTATAAGAGCTATATTGCCGGTGTATGGTATTGTATGACAACCGATTGTGTTACAGTAGATACATTTCTGCATGACTAGCTACCTGCCTCCCTGTGGGTGTGGTGATACGTATTTTGCAGGCATAGAGCAGCAAGATATCACCAATGATCCATTTAAGTTTTACTCATGTTTGGCTAGTATAGAAAAAGATGTGCATATTAAGTCTCTATACAGAGATAACCATCCTTTAATTATGACCATCATTCTGATGATATTTCACCAATTTTCTAGTTAATTGTTCACCCTGGCAACTTCTGCCAGCACATTAAGGTAAAATACTTGTGCTTTGTAAACTTATATTCCCGGGAAACATCTCAAGTAGGAAGAAAAAAAAAGTCCACATCTGAATGCCATTAACTGAAATCAGTGCAGTTTCGACAGCATGTGTATTTTTAGGACTTAAGTATCTTTTTCCAACTATTTTTCTGCATTAAACTGTGATCAAATATAGATTGGGTTATGCTGCACTGCCTGCCAACAGGGTCATTTCTGGTCATTCATTCTATTAATTCCCGCAGACATATCCTGCATTCTGAGCAGTAAAATCAGCACACATTTCTGTCTGTTAGCTCATGTTTGTCAACGTACTTTCTTCCTTACTCACTCAACTTTGAACTATAGTACTATACATATTCCTGCAAAATCTCCACTTTCCCAGTGTATTAGCTGCACCGGGGTGACTCATAAAGGCCTTTGATTTGTTTCTTGTGATGCATCTTCCTGGTTGAGCTCATTCCACTCTTCATCAGTCCGCGCCCAGTGATTATTTCATTGAAACATTCCTCTTTAATTCTGAGTTCTCTTCGTTCTTATGGCCCGTATGCCATGGCTGAGTTCCTGTGCAAGCCTATGAACTGATGTTCTTTCTCTGGTAACTCCTCGCTTTGCTAACTCTTCATAGCGCTTGAACGACTTCTTCACAACATTTTAATTTACATTTTTTAGTTCAAAATCAAGACTTGACTTTTGTTACCCAGCAACATCTGATGAAACCTACTTATCTTGGGATTCTAATTCCAATGAAATACACTCCTAGCTTACTGACTCTCAATTTTGGCTTTTTTGTGTCTTTTGCATTTCTTTGTATAACACACCAATCCTTCACTCCTGGGCTTTTCTACCTAAAAGACTGGCTCCTCTTCACTTTGTCTATCATGTCTCAAATTTTGCTTCAGGTTTCTAGCGACATCAGCCTCCATGTCCACTATTTTCTCTTTTCTTGACATGCTCCCAGCATCATATAGGTTGGCGTGCTAACTGGGCATTTAGGGCCTCATTTGCTACCCTTGGCTCAGAACTAGATATGAAACCATTTGAAGGCAGGGAGCTATCATAGCACTTCACATGGGAGAGGTCTTAAGGCATAACTGTTTGATTACCCATTAGTGGCTTGGGAGAAGTTTGGCACACGCTCTCCTTCTAATATTTGATGATTACTTCCTGCCCTACCTATAAGGTTCATACAGCACAGTGCCAAAATTGACAGTAGTGGGAAAGAAGAGATCTCTGTTTCCCTCACATCTTTCCCTCCCCAGGGGAATAGAACCCCCTGGCAGAGCTTTCAAGGAGAGACAGAGAGAGCAGCCACTTGCACCACTTGCCAGCAAGTCCCATTCATTGGACATGGTATGAAACCTCTAAGGCACCGAATTACACGCGCAATGAAAATGTTTCAAATAGTTGTCTCCAGGGAAAATATTGAAAATGTCAGTGAAACAGAAATGCCCTCTTCTGCACCCTGCTCTTCCATCTGTGTTGTTTTTTTTTGCCAACTCTCTCTCCATGAGTCTTTCTTTATCAATTTTTCATATTTTCTGAATTTTTAAATTTTTGCGTAATTTATTATTTTAGAATTAAAGCCCCAGTTATTTACTGTGAAGTTGTAAAAGAGCATTTCCTGTTTTAAAAAATCCCTATGACCAGCACTATTTTGGAATATGAACTATTTTAATCACCCAGATTGTATTTTTGGCTATATGTTCATTATATTTGGGTCTCTAGAAATTTGATCATGCTCAGGATTCTTAGAAGCCTATGTCATTTTTTTTCCTTTTCTCTCTCCTTTGTCATTAAACATTAAAATAAAACAAAGTCAATCAAACAACTAAGTCCTTCCCACAGAGTTAAAGGCCAGAAAATAAATGAAAGGTGTCATCAGGTCCGTTCCTCATCCTTGTAACAGGATGGAAGACAATATAGACAGGTCTCCTTTCCATTTTCAGAGACCTGAGGAATTAAGGAAAAAAAAAATCATTACCACTCTGATAGTTATTTCACTGCTTAGAAAACCTCATTGTTCTTAAAGTTTTCCAGTTACTTTCAACTTCTTTTGGTTTTGTCCACATTAATTGATGAACAATAGTTGGGATTTCCACGTTGTAATAATGCATGAAGTCAGCACATTTAAACATGCTTTTATTCTTAACTCATCCTTCCTCACTTAAACTTAACCTCTCTTCATAGCAAAATTACACAAGGATTCTCAATGCCTGCCCTTTCTCTTAGTTCACAGTGGTTCCTCTGCAATCAGTATTCACACTATCTCTGCATTTTCTCTACTTCCTTTGTATTTTTAGCTTTTCTAACAATCATGTTTTCTCACTCACAGTACTTGCTTTTATTCTTCTGGGTAAATATCCAGAAGTGGGGATTGCTGGGTAATATGGCAGTCCTAGTTTTAATTTTTTGAGGAACCTCTCTACGGTTTTCCATAGTGGCTGCACCATTTTTGCATTTCCCACACAGTGTGCAAGGGTTCAATTTCTCCTCAACCTCGCCAATACTTGCTATTTTAAAATTATATATATATATAAAAACAGCTACCCCGACAGGTTTGAGGTGATATGTTGTTGTGGTTCTGAGTTGCATTTCTATGATGATTAGAAAATATGTAGTGAATGCTTATTCTCTGCAAACACTTTACCCAGTGCTGAGGATACAGCAATAAACACAACACACGACTTGCTTCCTCTGACAAGGTATTTGGCATTGTTCAAGTGTCATCCTTTTTAGCAATAATTTCATAGGAAGAGAGGTGTTTCTTAAGTAGCCAGATCTATAGAATCAGCTCTAAATATGTAGGTATGGCTGATATCAATCCAGTTTTCATTCACACCCAAGATAATTACTTAACTTTTCTGCATTCAGTCATTTGCTCTAAAATGAAAATTGTGATATTAAAGAGACCTTACTGTCACTGAAAGAGATGGGTGATTTTTTGGAGTGTAGTTTACATCTTCGTATTTCCCGGTTGTTATGTAGTTTAGTTATTGCATTTTCTAAACTTGGAGATTTCTGTCTTCTTTATTTTCCTGCTTTTCTCATATCATCTAGCATTTCCATGAGTGTGTCTGCTCACATTCCAATAGGGCATCATAACAGCTGGAAGAACTGACCGATGGACTTTTCATTTTTTGATGACTTTTCCATCTGTTTGAATTTCAAACCAGATGCCTGGTAGTTGAGGACGATTTGCACTGCTATTTTAAATAACACGTCCACAGATAATCCAGAATACCTCTAAGGGAGACTAACCAGTGCAACGACCCGAGAGCTTCCCATATTCTCGGTGCTTACATTAAAAGGAAAGTAGGTCAGATAGGCCTCACCAGCTAGAAAGCTACTCTAAGGCATTCCTCAAGGATTACCGGGCAGCATTATCAAGTTACGGATTTCACCTTCCAGCTCTGGTGGTATTTAGAATCTATGTTCAGCAAAATATTTCATCACCCACCCTTGACCTCTTTTTCAGCCAGACTGTAAAGTTATCAATCCATTTCCTCATTAGCTGAACAGAAATGATATCTCTGAGAAGTATGAGTCAACAATCTCTTTCCCTTATATGATGAATAGTAACACACACACACACACACACATGCACGCACACACACATACACGCACACACATACACACACACACACATNAGTAACACACACACACACACACACATGCACGCACACACACATACACGCACACACACACACACATACGCACACACATACATACACATGCACACACATACACACATACATACACACATACACATACATACACACATACAAACACACACATACATACGCACACATACGCACACACACATACGCACACATACACACACACATACACGCACGCGCGCCTGCGCGCGCGCCCCCCGAGCGCATAAAACTAACATTCAAATCAAAGCCGCAACTGCAGTTCGTCTAACGTGTCAAACAACGGGTTCGTTCCCATCGCAGCGTTCCACGTTCCCTAAAATAAAACGCACCCCCCCCCCCTTGAGCCCC